ACATCCAAAGCCTCCAAGAAAAATATGAATTGGTCTCAGGCCATGGAAGAGCTCAAAAAGGATTTTGAAAATCTAGTAAGAGAGGTAGAGGAAAAGTTGGGAAGCGAAATGAGAGTGATACCAGAAAAATCATGAAAAAATGAATCAACAGCCTGATAAAGGAGACACAAAAAAATACTGAAGAAAATAACACCTTAAAAAACAGACTAGGTCAAATGGTAAAAGATATCCAAAAAGCTAATGAGGAGAAGAATGCCTTAAAAAGCAGAATTGGCCAAATGGAAAAAGAGGCACAAAAATTCATTGAAGAAAAGAATCCCTTAAAAAGCAGAATTGGCCAATGGAAAAAGAGATACAAAAGCTCACTAAAGAAAACAATTCCTTAAAAATTAGAATTGAGCAAATGGAAGCTAATGACTTTATGAGAAATCATGAAACAATAAAATCAAAAGAATGAAAAAATAGAAGACAATGTAAAATATCTCATTGGAAAAGCAGTTGACCTGAAAAATAGATTCAGAAAAGATAACTTTAAAATTACTGGACTACCTGAAAGCCATGATCAAAAACAACAACAACAAAACAACAACCTAGATATCATCTTTCAAGAAATTATCAAGGAAAACTGCCATGATCTTCTAGAACCAGAGGGTAAAATAGAAATTGAAAGAATCACTTCCTGAATGAGATCCCAAAATGAAAACTCCTAAGAAGATTAGAGCCAAATTCCAGAGCTTTCAGGTCAAGGAGAAAATATTGCAATCAGCCAGAAAAAAACAATTCAAGTATCATGGAGCCATAGTCAAGATAACACAAGATTTATCAGCTTCCACACTAGAAGATCAGAGGGCTTGGAATATGATATTCTGGAGAGCAAAGGAGTTAGGATTACAACCAAGAATCACCTACCCAGCAAAACTGAGCATGATCCTTCAGGGGGAAAAATATTCGATGAAATGAAGGGCTTTCAAGCATTATTTATGAAAAGATCAGAGCTGAATAGAAAATTTGACTTCCAAATACAAGACTCAAGAGCAGCATAAAAAGGAAAACAGGAAAGGAAAATCATAAGGGACTTAATAAGGTTAGACTGTTTACATTCCTACTTGGGATGATGATACCTATAACTCATAAGAACTTTCTCATTATTAGGGCAGTTAGAAGAAGTATATATAGACAGAGGGAACAGGTGTGAGTTGAATATGAAGGGATGATAGCTAAAAAAATAAAATTAAGGGGTGAGTGAAGAATGCACTGGGAGAAAGGGAAAGGGAGAGGTAGAATGAGGTAAATTATCTCACATAAAAGTGGCAAGAAAAAGCTTTTACAGTGGAGGGGAAGAGTGGGGAGGTGAAGGGAGTTAATGAACCTTAATCTCATCAGAAATGGCTCAAAGAGGGAATAACATACACATGCAGTTGAATATAGAAACCAATCTTACCCTATAGGAAAGTATGGGGGAAAGGGGATAAGAGAAAGGAGGGAGTGATAGAAGGGATGGAATATTGGGGGAGGGGGTAGTCAGAAGCAAAACACTTTTGAGGAGGAACAGGGTGAAAGGAGAGAGAGAATAGAATAAACAGGGTGGGAAGGAAAAAGGGTTGAGGAAAATACAGTTAACAATAGTAACTGCGAAAAAAGATTTGGAGCAAGTTTCTCTGATAAAGGCCTCATTTCTCAAACATATAGAGAACTAAGTTAAATTTATAAAAATAAGAATCATCCCCCAATTGATAAATGATCAAAAGATTTGAACAGTTTTTAGAGGAAGTAATCAAAGCTATCTATAGCCATATGAAAAAATGCTCTAAGTCACTATTGATTGGACAAATGCAAATTAAAACAATTCTGAGGTACTACCTCATGCCTATTAGATTGGCCCATAGGACAGAAGAGGAAAATGATAAATATTGGAGGGGATGTGGGGAAACTGAGACATCAATGCATTGTTGGTGGAGTTGTGAACTGATTCAACCATTCTGTGGAGCAATTTGGAACTATGCCCAAAGGGCTATAAAACCATGCATACCCTTTGACCTAACAATATAACTATGAGGTCTGTATCCTAAAAGAGATTAAAAAAAAAAAAGGAAAAGGACCTATATGTACAAAAATATTTGTAACAGCTCTTTTCTGGTGGCAAAGAATTGTAAGGGGATGCCCATCACTTTTGGAGAATGGCTGAACAAATTGTGGTATGTGCTTATGATGGAATACTATTGTGTGATAAGAAGTGATGAGCAGGATGCTTGCAGAAAAACCTGGAAAGACTTACATGAGCTGATGCAAAGTGAAATGTACGGTGTACAAAGTAACAGCAATACTGTAAGATGATCAGCTGTGAATGACTTAACTGTTCTCAGTAATACAATGATTCAAGACAACTCTGAAGGACTTATCATGAAAAATGCTCTCCATCCCCAGAGGAAGAACTGATGGTTTAAGAATACAGATTGAAGCATACTTTATTTTTCTTGAGGTTCTTTTTTTTTTCTTTTGGTCTATGTTTTCTTTTACAACATGACTAATATGAAAATGTTTTGCATGACTACACATGTATAACCTACATTGAATTGCTTACTTTTTCAATGAGGGGAGTGGGAAGGGAGGAAGAGAGAGAATTTGGAACTCAAAGTTTTAAAAACTAACTTTAAAAATTGTTTTTACATGTAACAATAGAAAAAGACTAAATAAACTCAAAAAAAGCAAAAAAAGTAAGAAATAAATAAGAATTTTTTTAAAAAATTAATGTTGCAAACTTACAAAGAACAAGCATGACTCCAAAGATGAGATAGGTTATCATTCCACCTTACTCCTTTGCAGAGGTAGAAAATACACAGGTGTGATCCATTGCACATATCTTCATATGTTCTCAATGTATTGATCAATTTGGCTCATTTTTTTTCCTTCTTTATATATTCTTTAAAAAAAATTTGGTTATATGGTTCTCTGGAATGAGTGAGGGGAAGAGATACTATTAAAATTTTGGTGATGTAAATAAGAAAATGTATATTAAAAAAAAAGATGTTCAGTAGGTAGAAGTGGGACCCCTGGCTAATGGCTGGGTCCTTCTGATAACTTTTAGGGTTCCCTTGCCACATGCCTAATATGACTGTTGGTTACTCTAACTTTGGGTCAGTCTCAGTCAATTAGTCAATAAGCATATATTAAGCCCTTAACCATGTGCCAGGCACTGTACTAAGTGCTGGCAATACAAAAATGGGCAAAAACACTGTTTGAGACTGGACACTGAGGTCCATAGCATCTGGCACCTGAACTTGACCTTTGTTCTCCACTCTTCTGAGCAACCATCCTTGCCTGGAGAATGGGTAGAGAGCTGCTCTTCCCAGGAGACTTTTCAAGCCACTCTCAGAGCAATGATAACTTTCAGAAAGTCATTTTAGTTATACATCCCTTTGGATATCAGCCAATGCAAAGGACTCAGCATTAGGTGGGCAGAGCAACCTGGGATGATCAAGTCTCAGGATATCGGTTCCGATTGATACTTGATTAAAAAGGCTCTGGCTGCTAATGTGATCTACTTGGGTACCTCTCTAATCAATCAATTTGCCCTATATTTTTGTGCTGATGAGATAGCTTAGGACCATTCTCTTATTTCTCACCAATATGTATCCTATCTCTCTAGGTCAGGGATTCTTAACCTTTTATTGCATCGTCAGCCCCCTTTAGCAGTCTGATGAAACCTACAGGCATTCTCAGAATATTTTAAAATTAACATAATAAAATATTATGTTACAAATGTTTATATTATATCATGAGATTACAAAATATCATATTACAAAATTATGAAGGAAACTAATCATATTGAAACAGTTATCAAAATATTTTTAAAAGTGAATTCATCTACCCTGGTTTAAGAAAACTGCAAGTCAAGTACACAGTATAAGTTCAGAGGGAAGAGTCCATAATTCCTTCTATATCTCTGACATTATAGCACAGCACTGAGCACACAATAAGTTGTCAGTAATGCTAAATTATTAATGAATTATTAATAAATGCTAGTTATCATTAATAAATACTTCTTCAATGAATGAATGAATGGATAGATGAATGGATGGATGGATGGATGGATGGATGAATGAAATTTAAATGGATGATGGGATTATTTTGCCCAGTAACAGGGTACACAATCTAATGCTGAGGTACCCTCTTTCTTATCTACAAACTGGTTGTGGACTGTGGAGATTGCTGGAACTTAGACACTAGATTTAAAGTAGCCCCAAGATAGAGAGGATGTCCTGAGGCAAGGAAAGTCAGTTATAGACTGTGATGCTCCCAAAGTTGTCTCTGTCAATAACCAAGCTTATCTATGAGTGGCCAGAAGCAGGATAGTCATGAGTGCCATGTTCAGCCCATCCTATACCACCACCACCAACACCACCCCAGGAAAACAGGGAAAGTCACAGGAAAGTGACTTCCCCAAGTTAAAACCAAGGGAACAGACTCAAGTGGGGAGGAGGGGGTAGAAGCATAAAGACTACTAGATCATTTCCCTCAGAGAGGACAGGCCCATTTGAAGGAGGCCTGGTTTGAATCAAGAAGCCCTTCTCACCACCCCAAAAGGGTTTCACTTCTCTTCAAAGGAAGATTCCAGACCTCCTCTTCCTTCAGAAAGGAAAACTAGTCCAAAACGGAAGCCCACAAGTACCTGTGTTCTCCCCCTTTCCCACCTGACCCCCACTCCATGAAGCTAAAGTTCAAGATGAGAAAATCAGATGATGTAATTACCCCCCAGAAAAAGGACAAATGGAACTCCAGAGTTCCCTAGTTCCTCCCCTTGCAAAGAGGCAATATGGGAATTTTTTCATTTGTAAAATGGGCTTATTAGCCCCTTGCTATTATTCATTGTTGTTGTTATTTAGTTGTTTTTCAGTCATATTCAACTCTCAGTGACCCCTTTTGGGGTTTTCTGGGTAAGGATACTGGTTTAGTTTGCCATTTCCTCCTCCAGCTCATTTTACAGATGAGGAAATTGGGGCAAACAGGGTTAAGTGACTTGCCCAGGGTCACACAGCTGGTAAGTGTCTGAGGCCAGATTTCAACTGCTATCCATTAGGATTTATGTAATCAAGACCTCTCATTGTGGGCAGAATGAAAGGGATCCATCTGGTATCATTTTAAGGAGCATTGTTCCAGGACTGTTCTGTTCTAGAATCCTTTCTAGGAGATTCTGCCAACTAAGAGAAGGCTCAAGATCTTCAGGAGGTAGTGCTAGAAAAGACTTCAATATTGTGTCTAGTCTAGCCCCCAGCCTGCAAAAGGTCACAATGGACTTTTCTCAAGCTGAGCAGGCTGTCTGGGTTGCTGCTCTACTCCTGTGCCCCATAAGCAATGGGCTGGACACCAAGTTTTCTCACCCCTTGCTTAAAGGCAAATACACCCCCTAGTATTACCCAAATCCTCCTACAATAGCTGGCCATCCTCTGAATCCAGGAGCAGGGATGGATTCTCATCCCACTGGACCCTGAAGTCAACTCTTCATTAACCATCTTCCTCTCCGCTGAGTACAGCACCGGAAGACCAGCTGGAAGAGGATCTTCCTTCCATAGTGGCTGGGACAGGGTTGTCTCAGACTACTTTAGCCTGCTTCTGAGGTTTCCAGCTCTTCAGGCCTGTAGGACCAGGATAAAACTGGACCATCTTATACATAATAAACTGCAAAAATATAAAGAGAATAGAGTTCATAGACTATACCAATGCAGCATTGCCAACCCATACTGGGAGGTACTATGTGTATGTTCTTCCTTCACTCCCATCCCCCAGATTCAGTACTAAAAATGGAGAAGAAACCTTCTTGTACCCATTAAAATATAAGCGCCTTGAGGGAAGACTTGTTTCCCTTTTTTCTTTATATTCCCCCACAGTGCCTGGCCCAAAGGGGTAGGGAATATACTTGTGATTTCACAGGTACAGGGAACTGCCAGGTAAGGAAATTCCCCCTACTGATACAGATCAGCAATGTCTCTATAGCTTATAGACTTAGAATGTTTAATTAGAACACTGAGAGATTAAGTGACTTGCCCAGGGTCTCAATATGTGTTAGAGTCAAACTTGAATCCAAGTCTAACTGCTTTCAAATCATCTCTAAAGCTTGTTGCTTAAGTCATTACCCCATGCCTGGAATGCTCTGCCCACTCACTTCTGTTTTCCAGGTTTCCTATTAAGATCCAGCTCAAATCTCTCCTTGTGCAAGAATTCCTCCAGCTGCTAGAGTCTTCCTCTTTCAAATTACTTTCCAACTACTATGTATGTATCTTGGATATACCTTGTTATTTACATGGTCTCTCACCAATTAGAATGTAAGCTTCTTGAAGACAGGGACTGTTTTTACCTTTCTCTGTCTCTCCATTGATTAGAAAAGCAAATAGCCTAAGTGCTGACTGACTAGTTGCCCGGGAAGCCCCGGGACTTGTGTGCTGCTGTTCCTCATTCCTCTGACCATGAGGTATCATGAATATCAACTCTCCCCAGGGAAAGGAAAAGGGACATCTATAAAGGAGACTGAATGACATAGAAGGACCAGTAGTAGTATTGGGGCAGACCTCAAACAAGATCTGGGCCAGCCTCCCGCCCTTAGGCAGGCCAAATTCTTACTCACTTCCCATGCGTTTCTTTCTCCATAGGACATAGAATACAACTGAAAACATCAGGATGGTGAAACTTCCTCCCAACAACATGGAACCAGTGAGGCTGGAGTTGTGGAAACTAAAAACAAAACAAAATAGGAGAATGGAGAGGAAATATGGTTAGCACAGATGTGCTGCTTCTTACAATTCCCACCCTAGATTGAGGGAACTGGTGAATCCAGAGTGATGAGAATGGGGAGATTGAGAGAGGAATACTTAATCCTCCTTAATCTGCCCCAAAGAAAGGAGTACAGAAACCCAAAGGCTCTCTAGCTGGAGATGCCAGCAGAACTCCCAGACAGCACCCTTATTTATCACTGGATTCCGAGTAAGAAAATAATAGTCCCTAAGAACCCAGATGTGATAGAAAATTAACAATCCTAAATTTTGGATGGAGAGGTCACTCACCACACAGAATATTGCCAAGGGATACTTAGTGTGGTGGGGATTGTGTCCTCTGGCAAAAGGAATCCCCCCTCCTTAATCCCTCTCCATCATAAACTCTACATACACACACATGCGCACGTGCACGCACACACACACACACACACACACACGCACACACACACACCAACTTTACTCTTCAATCAGAGCATGTCCCCAAAAAGGTCTCCATCAGCAATTGATGGATAAATTATTTTTCCCATGAGTGATGGAGAATACCTGTCTTTTCTCCCATCCTTATTTTCTTCTTCATATCTATAATCCTCTGTTCCTTACCTCTTGACCTACCAACTACTTCTCTCTTTTTTCTCTCTCCCATCTACAATCCCCCATTCACCCACAATGCCCATAAGTATCCAAACGTATCTCATACCTTCCATCTCCCATGTTTCCATTCTTGATTTCTCCTTCCCAAATTGCCTGACTCAACAGCATCTCCAAGATGGGAGAAACTTCAGAAGCTTTCTAATCTGGCGCATCCCTAAGAAAAGGAATCTCTCTACAATATCTCTAGCAAGAGCTTGTCTAGTCTTTTCTTGAAAAACTCCAGTGAGCAAGAATCCCTCACCTCCTGAGGGAGTTCATTCCAATTTTGTCAGCTGTAATTGGTTTTTTAAAAGCTCAACTAGGGATTTCTTCAGCAAAAGTACTCCTTATAAAGAAACTCCCTCTGTCAATGTAAACTGTTGAGGTTCTTGCCCAAAGTTGCCACCCCCAGGTTCTCATTGCCATGGTATACCTCTTCTGGGCCTCAGTTTCCTCATCTGTAAGTTGAGATATACTAGTTCTGAAGCTCTGCAACTCATACTCTTGGAAGGTTACCAGGGACATTGAAAGGTTAAGTGAAATGTCCAATGACTTATTCTTTTTTAAAAATTAAATTTTATTTTATTTTCCCAGTGACTTATTCTTAATTAAAGCATACTGGCTTGTTGTGCTTGTGAATTAATTTTCTAGATGTTTACTAACAATCTCTTCAAAAATAGGTTTCTGAATTTTGCTGAGAATCTTAGTCAAGCTCATTGGACCATAGACTGTGGTCTTCATGCTCTTCCCATTTTTTTAAAAATCAAGATGACATTTGCTCTTCTTAGAAGTCTAAAAGGTCACTGACCATGGCTCAACAATCATATTTACCAGTGAGATCATGGAATGAAGTTTGAGTGGGCTTGGGAGCTTGAATTCATCAGGGGAAACTGGGTCCTCTCCTACCATCTCCTTACTTAGCTTCAGTTTTAATTTATTATTAATCATTTTTGTTCAGTCATTTTCAATCCAAAAATATTCCCCTTTACAAGGGAAAACAGGAGCAAAATTAAACTTGTACAGTTCTCTCTTCTCCCTGCCTTTCATCATCATTATCTCATCTGCTGAGAGCAGTAGCACTATTACTTTTTAGATCTCTTCTTTTCCTTAATTTTGACTTAAAAACAAAACCTGGGGACATAGCTTTCTCCATCAGTCTTAGCTCACTTTAAGCTTTACCATTCCTTATATTTTTCTCAAAGGGTCATGTAACACTTTTGTATTCATTCTCGGTTCCCTGTCCTTGCCTTCTTCTGAGTGTGACTTTAAAAATTTTAATTGATTAGTGAGCTTTTTGTGGGTTCACATAAATTTCCTTAAACACCAACTCCCTTTCACCAGTTTTTCCTTCTTATTGAAATTATTTCTTCTTCATACTTTCAGAATTTCATAAGAACTTCCCATTTTTCCAGGATGGATTTCACCTGATTTCCTCATATCATATGTCTTATCTCTCATCCCAACTTCTCAACCAGTTTTCCCCATCTGTATCTCCTACCCCATTCTCTACTCTATTTCCTATTCCCCACCCCCTGTGCACATGCCCTTATATTCAAAATACATCTTGATTTGCTGTTCTCCATACCTTATCTATTATTCCCTTCACCATTCTCCACTTTAATTATATAAACCTTGTTCCCAAACTCAACTCCTATTGTCAATCCATTGCCATTCCACACACCTACAACCCACCTGCCTGTCCCCCATTCTCCTCTCTCAGTTCCCTACTTTTTATTAGCTTTATCAGACAAAACGTCAAATCAGAAAACAGAGCTTTGGTGATAGGTCTGATGTGAGTCTTGCATCAAGGAACCATTAAAGCCTGATAGAGAGTTGCTGATGTCTTTGACAAATGGCATTGTCATATCCTAAGACTGGTAGGGTACCTGTTAGGAGTTAATTCCTTGGGGTATGATCTGATGGTGGTGGATACGGTACCAGAAGATCTGGCCTTGACTGTGACCAACATCACTGGGGCAACGCGGGTGGATCTTGACTTGCAAGGAGATCCACTAGTTGCTGAGGATCTTGTGGTCATCCTTAATGTGGCAGTGGTTATGGGTCTGGTGACTGGTGTGAATCTCATCTTCACTCTAGATATAGTGGTCATTGATCTGGCCATTGTAGGGAGAGTAGCTGTGTCAGCTGGCATCGTACCCATAAAGGCAGGTATAGAAGTAGTGATAGGAACAACCATGGGCAGGTCCTTGCTCTTAGTGAGGAATGGGCCAGTGGTGACAGCAGTCCTAAAGGTGTGGTCTAGTTCCTGGATGGAGGCTTCCTTTGTAATAAGTGGGCTGTTTCTCTCAGTTGAAGGTGCTGAGGAAGCAAATAGAAGGAAAAATTAATATAGAAGTGCTGACTGAGATGAGAGACAGAAGACCCTGTCTCCAGAAGTTTCAGTAGGGTTTCCCGGTGTTATCTTCATCCACTTTGGGGGATTCAAGTACACAAGTTGAGATGTGTGGGTTAGGATGGGGATGAGGAATAGCAGTGGAGCTGGGACAAAACTGAAAACTCCTTTGTATCTCACAATCCACATTCATTACAACTACTATCTATGTGACCCTGGGCAAGGCACACCTGGGACAAATTGAGTTTGGGGGAGTGGCTAACCCTACTTTGAGTGAAGCAGGGATACAGATCTCCTGTGCTGGCAGGGGCTGGTCCATTACCCAAAGAGTAATTTCCCTCTTCTCCAAAATGTTTGGGAAGAAAGGACAACAGATTCTAGGTCCATAGATTTAGAACTGGAAGGGGACATTTGAAGTAAGCTAGTGTAGCTCAGCTTACAGATGAGGAAACTGAGGCCCAGAAGATGTATACCATGGCAATGAGACCATGGGGGTGGCAGCTTCGGGCAGGGTTTACTCTAGAACCTCAACAAGAATGTGAAATCAAGCTTGGGCTGGGGAGGGGTTCCCCTGACTGTGTTCTTTGTCATCACCATGACACAAAGCTACTTTTCTGGCATGATAGTTCTGGTTTTGGTTCTTTTGGTAGAGGACATTCCCATGACTCTGCTTGTCTTTCTTCACCTCACACTGTTTCCTTATGCTCCTACTCCCTTTAGAATAGATATGACTTTGTCCAATTCAGAGGTAGAGGTGAGAGATCTTGCTCCTTTAAATACCAATTTAAGATACCAGCCACAGTAGTGTGGAGGGAAGTGGAGAAGAGGAATGCAGTCTCTCCTCTCCTTTCTTCCATATCATCCTCAATAAAAGGAGGAGCTGATGAGAATTCAAGGAATCAGAGTGACCTCCTTCCCCTCTCTTGAGTTAGACACTCACCTCGCGAGACCACCAGCTGAATACCCTTCACGGGGTATAGTGAGCGTGAGCTATTCCTCATACACCAGTATTTCCCAGAATCTTGGTGCCGAAGTCTCTCCATGGTGACAATGAGGAGCCCGGCCTGGGAGTCATCATGGAGCTTGTAGGGGGGGCTAAATCCTGCACCCCGACTGAACCTTGAGTCACACTTCTTCCTTCTCACCTTGCACCAGACCTTGCCCTCCCATCGGTCAGAACGGACAGTGTAGGAGCATTGAACAGACAGTGTCTCTCCTTCTCGGTGACGGACTGTTGTATACACATCCTCTGCCTGGGAGGCTGGGGGACACACACCCCAGTGGGGATGGGGAAAGGGAAAGGGAAAGAGAAAGAAGAAGGGATAATAAAACAAAACATTGAAGAAAGAGGCTAGAAATCCCTAAGAGCTGGAAGGGACCTTAAAGGCCATCTAATCCAACCTTCTCATCTTCCGGAAGAGGAAACTAAGGCCCAATCACATAACTTTCTCAAGATCACACAGGCAGAGCTGGGCTTTGTTCCTTGGGTTCCAAATCCATTGCTTTTTCCATAGTACAAAGGAAGCACTGGTACAAGGAGTTCCTCTCTGAGAGCTTCCTTCACTAATAAAATTATGGTTCTAATAAAAAATAACTAGTGATAGCTGGCATTTGAAAAGTATTTTACATACAGTATTTAATTTGATCCTCACAGCATCCTTGAGTTTGATTTGCCCAGGACCATACACGTAGTAAGTGTCTAAGGAGGGATTCAAACCCAGGTCTTCTTGACTCTAAGTCCAACACTCTCCACACTATGGCACTGGTCACCAGAGCCTTGTCTTCTGTAGTGTCTTCCCTTCCCAAGACCACTAAGAATTGGTTAGTTAACTCTGTGTTGAACATTCCTTATGTATACACAGCCTTGTAGTTGGAAGTGTGGGAAAGAACACACAGTGAGGGGAAAACATAGTTCCTGCTTTCATAGGATGCCCAGTCAGATGGGAAAGACACCCTCCCTGTCCTCAGAGTACCCATCACTGGGATGGGGGAGGCATTGTGAAAGCAGTGTGGTACAGAGAAAAGGGTGGTGGCCTGGAGTTAGGAGAGGGCTAAGTTTGAATCCTACCTCTGACCCTGTGCTTCCTTGGCTAAGTCATTTCAGTTGTCTGACCCAAGTTTCCTAGTCTATAAAATGGGGATCATAATAAAAGCTATAATGCCTGTGTCACACAGTTATTTGAAGACCTAGAGAGGTGATATCTGCAAAACACTTTGCAAACAAAGTAATATATAAAGGTCAGCTGTCAGTGATACTGTTTAAGTGTGTTTAAATATGAATGCATTCTGCTTTAAGCCAATTCATGATGTGAAAATCCTGAGTTACAAAAACATGATAAAGGATTGACTATTCAGTTCACAAATTCATTCATTATAAGACTTCTTTAACTTGCAAACCTCACCCCAGTGCATTTAAAATTAGATTTAATCAACAAATCTATCAATCAACAAGCACTTACTAAGTACCTACTGTTTGCCAGACACTGATTTGACTTCCACCCCATTGCATGAAAGGAGGTAAAGCTTTGTTGGAAGGTCCTAAAAGCACTAAAAAGATTAGGAATAAAAGAGAAATCAGAAATGGGTAAGGGCTAATCAGAGGAATTTTCCTAGAAGAAATTAGTTATAAACTGAATTTTGGAAGCCAGGGAAATGGATAACAGGATTTGAGGTTGGACAGAAATTTTGAGATCCTCTGATCCTTCTTCTATATCTGACTACTCCTCAGTTTCTCACGCCGGGGTCATCCATCATCCACCATCTCCTGCCTCCTTTAATAGCTAAACTGTGTGATCCTAAGCAAGTCATTTAACTCCTGTGTGCCTCAGTTTCCTTATCTGAAAATGATGGTGTTGGATTGGATGGCCTCTGAAGGACTTCTAGGTCACATAAACAACAAGACCAAGTAGATTTTTTCCTGATCCTTATGACCTGTCAAAGTTCTCAAAAATAGAAAAATGTATCAAAGACAAGGCAACTTCAATTGTCTCCAGAGTCTAGGACGCCAGGAATCCAAAAGAAGGTTCAAAAATATATAGACTAATGGCTATTCTGAGCCCCTTCAATATTTCTTTCCCCACCACCCACCATGCTACTAGCAGCAAGGCTGATCCAAGTACTAGCTGATCTAAGGACTTGACTCATGGACTTGCAACATAACCCAGCCCCACACCTCAGCATCCCTTCCCTTTTCCTAGTGCCTGAGGAAGTTTTCTGGAGGCTCAATGGCCAGGACTATGACAATGTTCTGTGCTACAAAAAAAAATATTCTGTAGGAGGGCAAATGAACAGAAAAAGATGTATGAGGGCAAGAAATATGTCTGGGCTTGAAAGAATTCAACTCCATACCTCTTCCACCCAGAGATTCAGAGATTCAAACGCCAAATGACAGAAATCACCCCAGCTCTGGTGTGTCTAGTGTGACAGAACTCTGAACTGCTGAGGAACAGAGAAACAGAGCATTATGTGTGTGTGGGGGGGCAGACAAGAGGAGGGCTGTGCCACATTTCGCCAAGCTTGAAGGAAAGAGCCCAGTATCCAGCTCAGGATAGTTCTATCCCCCGAAAGGCAGTTGGAGCACAGACCTAGGCTGGCGAACCATAAATTGCTCAGTGTTGGAGGAGGCTGAGACACTTTGACATCTAAACCCTATAGAAACCATCAGAGGGGAGAGAGTAAGAAAGTGAGAAATAGGGAAAAGAAGGAGGGGAGAAAATAGCTAAAATTATCAAAGATCTTACGAGGAAGAAAACCCAAAGGTTTTGAGGATAAGCAGATAAATCAACAGGGAAAACATTAACAGCAGGGGAAAATATGGGCTCCAGATCTTTTCAATGATTTGGGCTTCTAGGAGAGAAAATGCTGTAAAACAAAGGAAAATGAATCAACACTTGGTAAGAGAGAGGACCCTGTGGAATTTGAGAATAGAATCACAACACACTATTCCTAAGTGGAGAAATGAGAATTATGAGGGCAGAATTTATGGCCTGCATAGCAGAAATAGTAGAACAGAAAAACTTGAATCTGTGATGGAAAGCCTAACCAAAGAAACAACAGGGAAGACAAACTGATTAGGAATAAAAATATAGAGACATGAAGGAAAATCTAGAAGAAGAAAAGCAAAAGCAGTAATATTAAAGGAAGACATGCTGTCCATTCAATATCGATTTTGAAGATAGGATGCATAGAAATAGCATAAGGATTATAGGTCTTCTAGAAGAACATGACAAGCCAAAAAAACCTAAACACCATTATGCAAGAAATAATACAAGAAGGACCAGAACTTCTGAACACAGAGAAAGGAAATACCAAATGAAAGAATGCATAAATTGCCTCTGGATGGATTCTAAAGTTCCTTCCATTTCTAAATCCATGATCCTTTGATTCCAGATTACTCCCCAACACTCTGTCACTGTTCTCTTCCATCTCTACACTCCCATTCCTAAAGGTGCAGCTATCATGTCTATGAAGATGACTCCCAAACTGTATATCCAATTTTAATATTTCTTCAGAACTTCAGTATCACATCACTAACTGTCCTGCTTGATGTTTCCCTCTAAATGTTCCATAGTCACCCCAAATTCCTATAATGGAACTGATAAATTTATTCCTCTCTGAACTTGCTTATTTTTGTTGAGAGATCATTCTTAAGTCACCCAGGTTTGCAACCTTGGAGTCACTCTTGACTCCTTCCTCTCCCTCACATCCCATTTTCAAAGCATTAGATTGTTAACTTTACCTTCCCATTTTCTTTCACATCCATCCTCTTTTCTCTACTCAAACAGCCATTATCTTAACCCAAATTGTCCTCACCCCTGACCTGAGTTGCAGTAGCACCCTCACTGGTCTCCTTCCTTTCCGTACTTCCCTCCTCCAATCCATACTCCAAATAGCTGTCAAAATCATCTTCTTAAAACATAAATCTGGCAATGTTACTCACCTGAATAAAAGTCATTAGTGTCACCCTATTGCCTCTATGATAAAATATAAACTGTCATTTAAAGTCCTCCACTATCTGATTCCAGTCTGGATTTACAGATTTATTTCCTATTAATTCTCTTTCATACATTCAAATTCTAACTAAATTGGCATTCTAGCTATTCCTCAGATTTATAATCCCCTCTACAATCATATAAGAGGCTGCCTGGAATTCCATGCTGGAATGCCCTCCCACTTCATCTCCCTTAGCACAGTGCCTAGCACATAAAAGGTGCTTAATAAAGGCTTATTGACTTCCTTCATCTCCATCTCTTGGAATCTTTGTTATTGTTTGATTGCTTCAGTTGTTCCAACTCTTCATGACCCCATTTGGGGTTTTCATGGCAAAGATAATGGAGTATTTTGCCATTTTCTACTCATTTTACAGATGAGGAACTAAGGCAAACAGGGTTAAGTGACTTGCCCAGGGTCATGCAGATAATAAGTGTCTGAAGCTGGATTTGGATTCAGTAAGATGAGTCTGTCCACTGTGCCACCTAGCTGCCCCCTTGCAATCATTAGCTTCCTTCAATGCTCAATAACAATTCTATTTCCTATGTGAAGGTTTTCTTCATCCTTCATCATCTCTCCCTCAATATTATTCTTTCTCCTCAAATTACCTTGTATTGGTTTATCCATACGCAAGCTATACCCATCCTCCTAATAGAACATAAATTCTTTGATTACATGATTTGTTTGGGTTTTATAATTAAATCCCTAATGCCTATTATACAACAGGGGCTTGTTGAATTGTTTAATTTGTTGTCATCTAGTCCAGCTCCATCATTTTGTGAATGGGAAAACTGAGATCTAAACAGGAGAAGTGATTTGTTCACGTTTCTCTTTCCATCACACTTTGACATCTTCATAGAGGGGAAGATGAGAACATTGGGTTGCCTGGCTCCTGCTCTCTGTTAGATTACCTGCAAATAGTAATTTCTCCAGGGCTCCCTGGTAACTCAGTGCCTATGACAGGGATGCTGAAAAGGGAGGAGGGGTTCAAGTCCAAGGCACTGTAAAATCCTAATCCAATATCCACCGTAGAAATATTTTTCCATTTTGAGAAAGCCTATTTTCTGCACTAAACTGTATGGTCCCTAAACTAGATGGCTTAATATATGAAGGGCTTCTGGAAGCCCCATCTAGAAATGCCATGACTGGAGATCTGTAGCATAGGGGAGACAAATTTCTATCTGGGATGGGGCAGAGCTTATCCTGCCTTGAGGCTGTGGGATGGATAGGATGACTTTGGTAGGGCCCTGCTGACCTAGTGTCTGCATAGTTTGGAAACCAACTTGATCTTTGCCTCCCAATCCACCCCTTGCAGGTGGAGAAGAGGTTTCCTAAATGTTGAAAAGATTAATGGGTAGTGGTAACCCAGTTGCCATGACACTAGGAATGGACAGAGTTTCCAAAAAGACCAATGGTCATTGCTATGCTAGATAGCCACCTCTAGGGATGGCCCCAACCCAGGACAGGAGGTGGGCATGAGCATTCTGAGAACCACACATATTCATTTATACTCCCAAGGGACTTGTACATTCACCTGCTGATGAAATCAAAGTTGTGAAGTCAGAGCCAATCAGAGACACTGAGCTCTTAACCCCCTTAGAGAGCTTAAGGACATATTTTAAGAGTCAGTTCTTTTAGGAGGAAAGTTAGTATCCAAGTTAGAGACCTAGCAAATGGAAGACCCCCAAACAGAGACTGATCAGACTTGCTTGGCACTTTCCCAGCCAGTTACTTTGATATGCTCAGTAATAACTGGCCACTGAAGTTAAGATCACTCTCTCACAAATAATCACATCTTTCTCAAATAATATTCAAGCTTTTTAGATAGTGAGAGAAAGGGAGAGATAGAAAAGGTCTTTCTGAAACACAAATGGTTCAAGGGTAGATTCAGTAAGGCCTTCTCCCCACCATGCAGAAAATCCCTCTCCTACCTCCAAGACAACCTACCTCCCACCCCTCAGAATCATGCAGTCATCCCAGGCCCCACCTGCCTTTTCAGACTCTCACCTGAGAAATAGAACAGCAGCAAGAGAAGTAGCAGCAACCAGAGACAGGTCCCTGGCTCCATGGGGCTCTAGGAGGTCACAGCCTCCTCTGAACACTCCCCCAGGGACTTGGGCACCTTGGGGTCCTCAGGTCAACGTCCAAAGCCAGCTCTGGGCCTTGCCACCTGGGTGTAGTAAATAGGATGGTGAAGTTGTGAAAGTGAAATTGTCTATTTAGGGAAATGAGGAAATTGCTGGGAACCCACGTGAGTGCAGCAAGCCCAGGGCCCCAACCGCAGGGGCCCCAGAAAGAGCCTATCACTGGGAGAGGCAGCCTGCTATTACTTCCTTTTCTTACTCTTTGCAGGTGTGGCCAGTTCCACCCTGCCCTAGAGCTCCTTTGCCTCAGGGCTTTGATGCCCCTTAAATCTGGGAGATGGTCAACAGTCTAGACAGAATAATTGACATCTATATGTCTTTAAAGCTTGCAAAGCATTTGCTATAAACCGTATCATTTGGTCCTCTAAAGAACTTGGTGAGGTAAACACTCCAAGTATTGTCATCATCCTTTTACGGATGAAGAAACTGAGGCTCACAGTGAGGTTCAGGAACTTTGTCCAGGGTCACACAGCTTACCATTGCCAGAGGCAGATTCAAAACCAAGTCTCACTCCAAACCAAGTTTCCACTCCTTTGTTCTGTCTCCACAGATAATGTAGGGGTCTTCAGCTCAGAGAAGGAGAGGATCATTTGGTTGGTGACAGCAAAGTCTGTAGAGTAAATGTGATACAGGGGAAAGATGCAAGATCTGGGGTCAAAAGACCTTGGTTTGAATCCTGGGTTTTGCCACTTACTACCTATGTGACCTTGGACAAAGCTCAGGACCCCTCTCTCTTAGTGTTTTCTATAAAATGAGCTTCTAAATTCCTTTTTCAGCTTTAAGGGTATGAACTGTGTTGTTATTTTTTGTTCAGTTGTTTCGGTTGTGTCTGAATCTTTGAGACCCCATTTGGAGTTTTTCTTGGCAGAGATATTGGAGTTTTTGCCATTTCCTTCTCTAGTTCATTTTACAATGAGGAAATTGAGGCATACAGGATTAAGTGACTTGCCCAGGGTCACACAGCTAGTTAAGTGTCTGAAGTCAGAAAATAGATAGTGGCTCTTTAAAAGGGAGTTTCCTGGGTCAGCATGGCTCAGTACTTTGCCTTAGTGTTGCCGGGAAAGAAGGGCTCCCCAGGGGAAATAACATACCCATTCATACATTCAGAATCAAAGAATACTAGAACGGGACGGGATACCCAGTTCTAATCTAGCTCATCTGGTCCAATCCTTGCTTTTAAAAGACCAGGACACTGAGACCCAGAGAGGGGAAGGGGCTTACCAAAAGTCACAGGCAGAGAAACAGAGCTGGAGGCAAGGGCTCCCAGAGGCAATTGGATGGTATAGTGAATAGAATGCTGGACTTGGAAGCAGGGAGAGCTGAGTTCAAATCCAGCTTCAGGCATGTAACAACTGTGCTATCCAGACAAAAGTTTGCTGGAATTGGATCATACCAGCTCAAGCTGATTGCTAAATTTTCATTGGGAGCATTTGTACTGTTACAAATCAGGCACTGATTTTTTTTTTTAATGATTAAAAAGTGTTAGAGAAACTGTTAATAATGCAAATTAAGCTCAAAAGTATATCATGTGTGTATTTTTCCCCTGGAATGCCTATTGTTAAGCATTTATAGGCATACACCTGAACCCAGGGTAAGTCATTTAACCACCATCCCCAATCTCCTCATCTGTAAAATGGGGATAACAGAACCTACTTCCTCATGTTTTGGGAATAAAATGCAGTGATATTAGGGCAATGCTTTGCAAAACTTAATGCATTATATAAATGTTATTATTCCCCAGTGCTCTTTCCACTACATCTCCTCTGACTTATTCACATTCATTCTCCTTTTTAACAACTTTATTTGTACACAGGTCTTTCCTCCTGTATTAGATTGTAAGCTCCTCAAAAACAAGGCCTGCATACATTACCCTCTTAGCACACAATTGGTGCTTAACAAATGTTTGTTGGATTCTGTAGAATGGAACAGAACCATGGTGCATATCCATTTACAAACCCTCATTCTCACTCAACCATACTTGCCAATTATACACTTACATGTGTTCACACACAGTCCTGCTCACTCAGAATCCTGCTCACTCACCCACATGCATTCATTCATTCATTCACTCCTAGGCACATCTATCCCCTCCCACAGAACAATATTTTGTCACCAAACTTTAAAAGGAAGTCTGGGGTCTCCTTAGAAATACCCAACCCTTTTGGTTTCTCTCCCTTCTCCCACCCCTCATTCTTTGTCTTTATAGTGGTCCCCATTCACATACCATTTTCCTTGTGTCTCCCACACTGCTTTACAAGACCCTGCATCTTGCTGCCTGCTTCCTCTCACTCATCTCTTCAGAGAAACAGCTCCTCAGTACCACACCCTTCTTCCTCTCAGTCCCATGCACAAATATATGCATACCCTCTTTTCAGCCACCCTCACTCTTATCTCCATCCCACAGCTGTCAGCAACTGAAATGACCCAGCATTTCGTAGGAGGCCTCCACCCTTCTTGCTACATCCCTGTGGGTCTACTACTGACATCTGTTAGCTTAGCACTGTTCTGCTTGGGAAGAGTGGTGGACCATGGGAGGCCCAGGAGGTATGAAGGGAGCCATCAGGGTTTCTAGGAGCATAACCCAGAGTACAGTGTCTGTTCTGTCCCCTCATTCTTCTCAAATGGGGCCTGGATACCCTCCTGAAGCTCATGGGCCCAAGATTTTAACACTGAGCTCAGAGATCAGAGGAAAAGGAAAAGGTCCTTTGTGTACAAAAATATTTGTAACAGCTCTTTTTGTAGTGGCAAAGAACAGGAAACTAAGAGAGGGGGTGCCTCTCAATTGAAGAATGACTGAACAAATTATGTTATGTGAATGTGTTGGAATATTATTGTGCTGTAAGACAGGATGGATGGTTTCAGAAAAACCTATGAAAAATTGTATGAACTGATGCAGAGTGAAGTGAGCCTAACCAGGAGAACCATCTACATAATAACATTATCAATAGGAAAAATTTTGGAAGACTTAAGAACTCTGATCAACACAATGATCAATTATGATTCCAGAGAATCTAACATACAACCTCTGATAAAGAGGTGACAGACTAGATATACAGAGAAAGAGAGATGCTTTTAAACATGGTCAATAAAGGAATTTGGGGTTTTTAGGGGGTTTTTTTGCTTTTTTTTTTTTTACTATGCTTTAGATTGTGAGCTCCCTGAGGGCAGGGACTGTCTTTAGCCTCTTTTTATATCCCCAGCACTTGGCACAATGCCCAGCATAGAGTAGATAGTTAATAAATGTTTATTAATTAGTTGATTGATTATGCATATTGGTTTGAAAAAGAGGTGGCCACTTTGGTGCACTCAATATGAATCAATAGTATAATGTGGCAAAAGAAGATAAGGCAGACTTAGGAAGTACCCGGCTTTAAACATCACCTAATCCAACCTCCTCCATTTTATAGATGAAGAAATTGAATCCCAGAAAGGTTAATTGACTTACTCAAAGTCATTCTCCAAAAGCTGGACAACCAGAATAATAACCCAGATTCTGTGACTCCTAATAAGGTCATATGTGGTGCATATGGTTGACTAGGGGGAGGTTGAAGACTTTAGAAGACGGGGGAAAAATACCACATATTGTGAGAAATTGGATAGAGATCCACTGTGTTGATAAAGTAATTGTCAATGTGACACTCATACATATGAAACATACGTTAAAGGAAGATCCTAAGTCCAAAAAGAGGTACCCTAAATGAAATAGTCTGATCCCTGATTACAAAAGTTTTTATTATCTGAAAAGAGTTTGCAGAAGAAAACTTGCAAGAAAGGAGAGAAAGCGAGAGAGAGAGAGAGAGAGAGAGAGAAAATCAGCTGCTCAAAGAGGAATGGGAAAAGGGTGAGATAAGATGGTTTCTATAGACTTTCAGGTGAGGGGAAGGGTTAAGGGAGAAGACATCTGTAAACACAATAAGCTAGGCAGCAGGATGTTTAGAAGGTCTTGGGTCTGCAGATTCTGTGGTGTCTGGCTGCTACAGGCATCTCCAAATTTGACGAGCATTCACTCTCAGAGAATCACTGGTATGGTGTGTCCAGAACTTCAGAAGCCTTTCTGATTGGCTAGTTGTGCAACTCTGACAGGTTAATATAGTCATCACAGAGCTCATGTTAACATCGTGAACCCCAACATGTGACAATGACCAATGACAGTAAATATCCATGTGGTCTTTGCTTGAAGCATGGCTTCACAGGTACCACTACCCAGGTAGAAATCCAGTCAAAGGTTTTGAATTAGCTCAGATCACAGTATCTCAGTTGACCATCAGGTGGTGTTCGACTTGAGGTAGTCTCTTGTCTACTTCAGGATATTCAAAAGACTTTTGAACAGTCTTACAGTCTAAACTAGTCTAGGAGATGAAATGCTGACAAAATATTTAAATATGAAATTTATTACATTGACATTTTTGGCTCTGCACCCAACTGAATGAGATAGTGCACTCTTTCAGGACTCTTCTCTAATAATTGATATAGTCAGTATGTAATCACATAGCTTTCATTTAAAAGGCATATGGCAGAGGGGAGAGAAGATAAGGAGAGTAACAGATCCATTTGATGAGTTGCCCAATCAACACGATGAGATTATAAGACCTAGACATATAATTGGCTACTACCTATGGATTGTGGACATTCTTACCAAAATTTTCCTAATAGGACATAGGAAACTCAAGGTAATTAGCTGACTGAGAATCAGGGGAGACAGACACACATTGAAGAAGCCATCTCTGCCTGTAGGACATAAAAATGAGCTGTGAATCAAATGTTCTCTGTATGTGTTTCTTTCTCCTTCTTCATCTACCTTGAAGACCAGAGCTACTTCTGAGCCAACTAGTATTAAAACTAGAAAGGCCTTTAGATAATTTGCAGTTTCTCCCCCAACCAGAATGGTGCCTTCTGTCAAAAGCATATAGCAGAGACAGACACACTTGCATGTGACCTGAGAGGTAGCTCATGACAATGTCCCTAAATCCCAAGTTTCCATGTAAAGGGGGAGGGATTTTTATCCCTCCCCTAGCCAGAATGATCTCAGAATCTAGCCTTTTAGCCAGAAAAGGGAGATTTCTTAGGCATGTTGTCTCTTGGGTGACACTAAATTCAAGATTTTCCAAGTTTGAAAGTTTGGGCCAAACCTTGAGAGAAATGATTCATTGAGGACCCTTACTCAAACTCTAATCAGGATTAGTTAGTTCATTACGATTCTATAAGGGGTAATGATTGTTAGTAATTATTTTAATACATTCATCTAGTAATACATACCTAGTCAATCACCTAATAATAAGTGTAAGAACAAGCAATATATTAATCCATACTTTGTATAAATTACATAGGAATATAGATTCTAATAGGAAGGCCCTATAATAGGCCTCAGACTTTAATATAATGTTCATTGGTTGTTTACCAGCTATGGAGCTCACCTGTGCAACCACAAGAATGCTGACAAAGATATCTCCATCCTGTTTTGCTCAAATTCCATGATCAAACCAAGCATGGGTGGTGGCATGGTATGGAAAGTCCACTCTGATGGGTTCTTGGAGCATATATATAGCTTGTACCATCTCCTCCTGCCTAACCTAATGAGGAGCCCATCCATCTTATGACCACCTAGTCAGTGGAGATATTCCTTGCTTCACCCAACTCATGACCCTGCTGACAGATCGTTTTTCTTATTTTAGCTTATGTGTTGTGTATCAATCAATGAGATTCTCTATTTTACCATGTCAAACGCTATAAATACAAGGTCCTGAAAGAAGGGAGCATCTCAAATCATGAGGAAGATCTGAGGTCCACTTCATTACAGGGGAGCATGGACCCCTTTAGCAAAATGCCATTGGCTCAGAGCTCTGTCTCAGTCTCTTTTATTGTAGGTTGGACATTTTTAATCCCCACACCTTCTAGAGAGATAAAGACATTTCCTATTGTAGCCTATTTATGGGACAAGAGGACTGTCCATATAGTTCTATGCAACATCCTACTTGCAGACCAAGGCCAGTGAATTGTTAAATGATTTCTTATTCAGCAGCACCCAAAGTATTCTTTTCTTTCTATTGATATCTACTATATAGATCAAGGCAGCTAGGTGGCACAGTGGATAGAATACCAGTCCTGGAGTTGGGAGGACCTGAGTTCAAATCCAGCCTCAGACACTTACTAGCTATGTTACCCTGGGCAAGTCACTTACCTCTGATTGGGAAGGAAGGAAAGAAAGAAAGGAAGAAAGAAGAAAGAAAGAAAGAAAGAAAGAAAGAAAGAAAGAAAGAAAGAAAGAAAGAAAGAAAGAAAGAAAGAAAGAAAGAAAGAGAGAGAGAGAAAGAAAAGAAGAGAAGGAAAGAAAGAAAGAAAGAGAGAGAAAGAAAAGAAGAGAAGGAAAGAAAGAAAGAAAGAAAGAAAGAGAGAGAGAGAAAGAGAGAAAGAACCATCTACAGGATAGAATGCCCTAGGGATTTTGCTAGATATAGTTAGCCACTGCTGCTTTCATCCCGTCTAGAAAAAGGAGGGAAAATTAGTTAAAACAGCATTTGTAATCTTTCTAGAGTAGTTTCTTTGATTTCCTTCAAGTCTCAGCCAAAATCTTACCTTCACAAGAAGCCTTTCTTATCCCTCTTAATCCTAGTGCCTTGCCTCTGAGATTACCTCCAATTTCCCCCTATTCATATCTTGTTTGTGCATATGTGTTTGAATGATATTGTCCCCATTTGACTGTGAGCTCCTTAAGGACAAGAACCATTTTTGTCTTTTTTTGTAACCCCAATGCTTAGCACACTGCCTGGAACATAGTAAATACTTAATAAATGCAAGTTGACTGACTGACTGACTGACTATGGACTGGTTGCTTCTCTGGCCAAGTGGTCAGAAGTAACAGGAAGTGTCTCCCTGCTGCCCCCCCATTGCATGTGGTCAGTCGGATGTAGTGATACAAGATGATGGGGTCCCGAGGTAGGCGATAGATCACATGCTGGTATAACACAACATCTTGCCTCTGGAGTCCCATCCTAGTGACTTTCAGCATGGCATCAGGAGGATCATCCTCTAAAAAATACCTGCCAGCATGGACCAAGCTGGGCTCCCCATTCATGGTATTCATTCGTGCCAGTGTCTCCAGTTGGCCACTATTTCCATATCTGTGCCAAGCCTTCAGGGCATTAGAATGTTTCATAATATGGTGGACTCATCCCACAGTTAGGTTTTGTCCCTCTACTATGCACATCTCTTCCTCCTCTTCCATGACATCTTGTAATGCTGAAGACAAGAGTCAGCCAAAAAAACTCCACCCTCCCCTTAGTTCCCACCCTCCAATTAATACATGCTTTCCCTCCTCCAGCTTTAATTAGTGTTACAGCTCTGAGTTATTGGCTCAAGAAGAGAATAAGATAGTGACTAGATCTGTGATTTTTTTTTGAGTGTAAGAAACTATTGAGGTCAAGTCAGTGCCTTCTCTGCAATGTACACTATTCTGAGTCACTGAAAGAGTAAGTGATTTGACCAAGATCACACAGCCAGTGTGTGTCAGAGTGGATCCTCATCTACTGGAAAGGTCAGCGTTCTGTCCACTAAGCCATGCTGGTCACAATAATAATAGGTTCCATTCATAAAGGCCTTTAAGTTCTTCAAAGATAGACTAACATCTCATCCCCTATCCCTTGGAGGAACAGACAAAAGAAAGAAGGCGGTTAGAGTACTTGGCCTCATCTCTCCCTTCAAGCTGTCTTGCCCATGTTTTCCAACTAAATCCCTCCCAGGGTCTGAGGAGAGCTGGGATAAGGAAGGGCAAGAAGGAAAAGGTTTACTGTGCCCCATGGGGAAAGAAATGGGACAGATTCTTGCTACACGGTTGATTCTTTCTGATAACAACCTTTTTGGTTTGTCTTTCGTTCTCAAAGAGGACCATGACATCAGGAAGATGATGACATGACTTGCAATTAAAATGGATTTGAGTGAGGGAGGGCTGTGCAAATTCACCAGCTTCACTTTCTCCTCCAGAGCCAGCTGGGTCCAGTGGCCAGATATAGATCAGGATGACTGGGGATGGCCCAGGATGCAGTTGGAGATCGTGGCCTTTTTAAGCTAAGATCTTTCCTAATTCTTACTTTGAGTGAGGCAATGCCCATTCAATGAATAGGCCTGTTTAAGAAGTGAGTCAAGGGGTGGCACCTTTAATAATTAAAAAAAAATCAAAATGGAAGGGGGAGACCCTCAAGGTTGCTGGCCAAAACAGAAATAATTACTATTTACATTCAATCTGAGAAGGGCCCAAAAAATAACCGTTAAGTGGTGCTGGGGCAGGGACCTGTTGTTGTCCAATCAATGAGAGTCAGAGTGACAGTTTTTAAGAATAAAGATACATTGGAGCAGCTAGATGGTGCAGTAGATAGAGCAGCAGCCCTGGATTCAGGAAGACCCAAGTTCAAATCTGGCCTCAGACACTTGACACTTACTAGCTATGTGACCCTGGGCAAGTCACTTCACCCCATTGCCTCGTTTAAAAAAAAAAAAAGAAAAGAAAAAGAAAAAGAAAGAGAAAGAATGGAGATAGGTCCAGGTAGGGTGGTGTACACCATAGCCCCTGGCGCTAGAGAGGCTGAGGCTGTTTGGATCATGTGAGCTCAACAGTTCTGAGCCATAGCAACACTAAAGTTGATCAATCAGGCATCCATACAAAGGTGGGCACCAATATGGTGGGTCCCAGGGAGCAAAGACCCATCAGGCTATCTAACAAAAAACTAAATGGCTTAGATTAGAAAAATGAGGCAGGTTAAAGCTTCCATGGCAATCAAGACAGGAGTCGAGCCCAGGAGTGGCTGCTGCACTTCCAGCCCAGGTAAGTTAAAGGGACTCAGTCTTTAAAAAAAAAAATAAATTGAAATTTAAAGAAATACAGGGATAGGGACCAGATCTGTGATCTCATTGCTATAGGGAAACTCCAGGTGAGGAAACTCTCTTTACCAATGCAGGTGGGCACTTAAACACAATATAAATATGAGCTCTTATTATCTTTTTTTAAAAAGCCCCAGAGTTGGACTATGTAATCATTGAGCCACATGGAATTTGCCCCCTCTCTGCTTTTCTCCCCGTTGTGAAACAGTTTCTACGTCTTCAGTGTCAGTGACCTGAGAATGTCGGTTGGTTTGACTCACTAAGAAATAGGGCCAGGACAGGAGGGAAGGTCTTAGTGCTTAGGCCACAGCGTCAGGAAGCCCTTGTGGTATCAGCTAAAGAGGAGGGAGTGTGGGAGGAGCAACAGAAAGGCTTGGGGGTTGGGAAAATCCCAGATGTGACAGAGGACATACAATAATCAATAATAGGAAATGAATGGCCAACTCTGATAAGTTGCCTCCAGATTCCAGAATAGTTTACTGCAATTTCACCAGCCTGTAGATTAATCACCTTTCAAACATACCATGAACGTTCTCATTTCTGTCTTTGGCTCCTACTCTCTTCCATACCTGAAATGTCCTCCCCTCTGCTACCCAAACCTTACCTCTATCCCTCCCAGCACAAAGAAGTCTTCTCTCTATGGTGCCTTCCCATACTGCTCTATTCCTCAAAAATTTTTCCCCTCCTCTGAAATTGTGGCAGGTAAGTAATGACATAAAAGCAGATGAGTTTTAAAAGATATTTTGGATGCCTACAAAGATGGGAGGGCAGCATGATTTAGTGAAAAGAACACTGGGGTTGTGGTTAGAAAAAAGACCTGCCTCTATCACTTACTACCTGGCTGAGTTTAGACAAAACACTAAACATGTGTAAGTCTTACCTATTTAAAAAGGTCAGAAATACTCACCAACTTCTCAGGTCCCTTTTCATTCTCAATCCTGTAATCCTATGAATTCTGGGCTCTCCTTTGGCTCAGAGAGCCACTGGGCCTCCCTGCACACAATTACCTGCACTCTCATCCCTCGCCAAGCACCACCTTTCCCAAGAAAATAATTGAAAGGGTAAAAAAGTGGAGGGACTAGAAAACTCTTTTTCTAGAGCTCCACACTGGTGCTATCCTTCCCCAACTCTGCCCACTAGAGTCTCCATCATGCTTGTACCTGAAACACAGAGAAATGGCAACAGCAGCATCTGTGACTTCCAGCATCCTCCATCTTGTCCCTAGCTCTCAGATCCACCTGTGATTAGCTGTGCCCAGAGTTTCTGTCCAAGGACTTGATGCCGCCGATTCTCCTCAACATCTTCAGGATGTTGCCTCACAGGATGTATGTGTATTTCATATTGGAGGATGAGAGGTACTGAGGTGGGGAAACAATGTAGTAGAATGTGTCATGTCGTTGAGGACCAAGCAGACAAGAAGGAAGAAAGGAATTTCAAACCCTGCAATCTTGATCTATCACTTGGTTGAGTTTGGGCAAAACACTTAACATTCACAGGTCTTATCTATTTAAAAAGATCATATTCAATGATTTCTCATATTCCTTTTCTTTTTTTAATCTCATTTTTAAAATTTTAATAATATTTTACTTTTTGTGCATACCCTTTGACCCAGCAATATCACTTCTAGGGCTGTATCCCAAAGAGATCATAAAAATGGGAAAAGGACCCACATGTACAAAAAATATTTATAGAAGCTCTTTTTGTGGTGGCAAAGAATTGGAAACTGAAGGGATGCCCATCAATTGGGGAATGGCTGAACAAGTTGTAGTATATGAATGTAATGGAATACTATTGTGCAATAAGAAATGATGAGCAGGTGGATTTCAGAAAAACCTGGAAAGACTTACATGAACTGATGCTGAGTGAAGTGAGCAGAACCAGGAGAACATTGTACACAATAACAGCATTATTGTGCAATTATCAACTTTGATAGACTTAGCTCTTCTCAGCAATAAGAATTCCAAAAGACCCATGATGGAAAATGCTATCCACATCCAGAGAAAGAAATATGGAAGTTGAATTGCTATTTTTTTCTCTTCTGTTGAGTTTTGTTTCCTCTTTCTGATGGTTCCTCCTATTGGTTTTAATTTTTACTTACAACATCATTAATGTGAAAAAGTTTAATAGGAATGTAAATGTATAACCTATATCAGATTGTGCACCATCTTGGGGAGGGTAGTGGGGAGGAAGGGGGAGAAAAATTTTAAACTCAAAAACATATGGAAGTGATTATTGATAAATCAAAATAAATTAATAAAAAAAAGAAAGCTGGTGGGGAGCCAAGAAACATGAGGTGACTGGGAATGTTAACTCCAAACTGAACTTGCCTGTAAGTAATGCATCACTAGACTAACAGAGCATTTCTTAAGAGGCATTGTGAAATTGGAATCATAAGGCCCAAAGTGGTCTTAGTATCAAATGCTTCAGGCCCTTGCCTTAAGTCAAACTGTGGAAAGGCCACTAAAACTTGGTGTCATAAGATCTGGGTACCAGTTTTCTAGAAGGCACACTACTATTATAATAAAGCAAATAACAACAACAACAAAAAAAAAACAGCAACTAGTTCATGATTATTTTGAATTTTGTAAAGAAATTTAAAGTAGCTATACTACCTATTGAATATGAATATTCAAAGATCAATTTTGACAATCACTGACATATTTGAAGAAGTTAAAGCTCAAAAACAGAAACTATTACTAAACAAACCACCCACTGTATAGGTGTAATTTTCCCTTTTTTCCAAAAATATATCAATGTAGTCAGAAAATATTAAACCATTATTTTTTCCTATTTTAATTTAATTTAATTTTTATTTTTTACTGGAACAATTATTGTTTTCTTCTATTTTTCCAATCTTTAATTTTTTTCCTAATATTTCTTGATACCTCATGAAATCATTGATTTCTATTTAATCTATTCTAATATTTAGGTAGTCCATCTTGGCTGAAAATTGTGTATTTTTTCCATATGGTAATTGATCATTTGCAGTTTTTGAAATCTGTTTATATCTTTTGAGCACCTATCTATTGAAGAATGGGTTTTGGTTTTTATATATTTTGGGTCAATTCCTCACATATCTTGGGTACTAGACTTTTATTTAAAATGTTTCATGCAAAGATTTTTTAAAAAATTACTTGACTGATTTCTTCTTATTCTAGCTGCCATGATCTTTTTAAGTCAAAAACTTTTAAATTTCATGTAATTGAAATTATCTATTTTATTTCTGTCCTTATCTCTACCCTTTGTTTATGAACAGCAATTGTGAAGTGTACCACCTATTGTTTTTTTTTCTAATTTTATAAACAATTTTTATAGGTTAAGTATTCATTTGGAGTTTATTATGGCATAAAGTACTAGCCAAAACTGGTTTTCTAGCAAACTTTGCCAGTTTTCCCAATAGTTCTTATTTAATAGTTCTTATTCAATTTCTCCAATAATTTCTGTTCTTGGTTTTAGCAAACACTGGAATACCACATTCATTTACTTCTAAGACTTACTTGTCTAGTCTGTTTCACTGACTTACTTTTCTATTTTTTAAAACAACCAGTGTCTCTGATAAGGGCCTCATTTCTAAAATATATAGAGATTTAAGTCAACTTTATAAGAATACAAGTCATTCCCCAATTGATAAATGGTCAAAGGATATGAACAGGCAGTTCTCAGATGAAGAAATTAAAGCCATCTATAGTCATATGAAAGAATGCTCTAAATCACTACTGATTAGAGAAATGCGAATCAAAACAACTCTGAGTACCACATCACACCTATCAGATTGGCCAACATGACAAAACAGGAAAATGATAAATGCTGGAGAAGATGTGGGAAAATTGGAACACTAATGCATTGTTGGTGGAGTTGTGAGATAATCCAACAATTTTGGAAAGCAATTTGGAACTATGTCCAAAGGGCTATAAAAATGTGCATAGCCTTTGACCCAGCAATATCACTTCTAGGGCTGTATCCCAGAGAGATCATTAAAATGGGAAAAGGACCCACAGGTACAAAAATGTTTATAGCACGTCTTTCTGTGGTGGCCAAGAATTGGAAATTGAGGGGATGCCCATCAATTGGGGAATGGCTGAACAAGTTGTGCTATATGAATGTAATGGAATATTCTTGTGCTATAAGAAATGATGAGTAATCAGACTTCAGAAAAACCTGGAAAGACTTATGTGGACTGATGCTGAGTGAAATGAGCAGAACCAGGAGAACGTTGTACATAGTAACAGCCACATTGTGCAATGACTAACTCTGATAGACTTAGCCTTTCTCAGCAATGCAGGGATCTAAGACATCTCCAAAAGCGTCATGATGGAAAATGCTATCCACATCCAGAGAAAGAACTGTGGAGCATACTATTTGCTCTTCCTTTTTTTCTTCTGTTTTGTTTTGTTTCCTCTTTCTTGTGGTTCCTCCTATTGGTTCTAATTCTTCCTTACAACATGACTAATGTGAAAATATGTTGAATAGAAATGTATATGTAGAGCCTATATCAGATTGCACACCATCTTGGGGAGGGAAGGGGAGAAAAATTTAAAACTCAAAAGCATATGGAAGTGATTGTTGAAAACTAAAAATAAATTAATAAAAAAAAGCCTAAAAAAAAAAAAGAAAGAAAGAACTATGGAGTCTGAATGCAGATTGAAGTATACTATTTTCACTTTGTTTTTGTTTTTTCTTTCTCATGGTTTTTCCCTTTTGTTCTGATTCTTCTTTCAGAACATGACTACTGTGGAAATGGAAATATGTTTAATATGATTGCACACGTATATCCTATAGCAAATTGCTTGCCGTCTTGGGGGGGGAGAAAAAATTTGGAACCCAAAATCTTATAAAAGTGAATGTTAAAAACTATCTTTACATGTAAATAATAAAATAAAAAATAAAATACAACAATAACAACAATAATAATAAATACATAGATCTATATCAATCAGGATGACTGGAGATGGCCGAGAATGCAGTTGGAGATCTTAACCTTTTTAAGCTAAAGTCTTTCTGAATTCTCACTTTGAGTGAGGCATATAAATAAATATATATGTATATATATAATATAAAATATAAAAATAAAAAATAAAAATAAAAAATAAAATATTATTAAGTGAGAATAAATGTTTTAAGTTCCAAATTCTATCTTTTCCTCCCCTCCCTTCTCCTGGAGACAGTAAGCAATCTGATATAGGTTATATGTGCAATCATGTAAAATATTTCCATATTAGTCATTTTGTGCAAGAAGAGAAAGAGAAAGAGAGAGAAAGGAAGGAAGGAAGGAAAGAAGGAAGGAAGGAAGGAAGGAAGGAAG